GGAGCGTGGGGCCTGCTTGAGATTCTCTCTTCCTCTCCCTCTGCCCTCCACCCCTGCTCATGCAAACTCTCTCTTTCTTAAAAAAAAAAAAAAAGAAAAAGAACTAAACCTAAAGCTAGTAGAAGGAAATAACAAAAGGCAGAGATAAATAAAATACAGAATTGAAAATCAATGAGAAACAACAGCTGGTTCTTCAAAAGATCAAAAAAATAGACAAAAATTTAGCTAGAGTGGCTAAGAAAAGAGAGAAGACTCAAATTACTAAAATTAGAAAGTGGGGATGTTACTACTGACTGTAGAGAAACAAAAAAAGATTATAAGACAGCACTATGAATAATTGTGTGCCAATAAATTGGATAACCTAGATAAAATGGACAATTCCTAGAAACAAACCTAAGACTGAATCACGAAGAAACCGAAAACCTAAGTAGACCTATAACTACTGCAAAGACTGAATAAGTGATCAAAAACTTCCCAACAAAGAAAAGCAGGGACCAGATGGTTTCACTGGTGAATTCTACCAATCATTTGAAGAAGAATACCAATCCTTGGGGCGCCTGGGTGGCTCAGTTGGTTAAGCGTCTGCCTTTGGCTCTGGTTGTGATTGCAGGGTCCTGGAGTCGGACCCCATGTCAGGCTCCCTGCTCAGCGGGGAGCCTGCTTCTCCCTCTCCCTCTGTGATCTCTCTCGTTCTGTCTCTCAAATAAATAAAAATCTTTTAAAAAATAAAAATGAAGAATATCAATCCTTGTTAAACTTTTCCAAAAAATGGTAGGGGAAGGAACACTTCCTACTTATTCCGTAAGGCCAGGACTGCCTGACACTAAAGCCAGACAGAGACACAGTAAGAAAGGAAACTAAAGACAAATATCCCTTATGAACACTGATCTAAAAATACTAGCAAACCAAATTCAGTAGTATCTTAAAAGGATACTACCACATGACCAAGTGGTATTTATTCCTGACATGCAAGGATGGTTTGGCACACAAAAATCAATGTGATATGCCACATTCACAGAATAAAGGAAAAAACGACATAATCATCTCAGTTGATGTAGAAAAAGCATATGAAAAAACTCAAAATACTTTCATGATAAAAACACTCAACAAACTAGGAATAGAAGGAAACTGCCTAAACATAATAAAAGTCTTAAATGAAAAACACACAGTACACATCAGACTCAATGGTGAAAGAATGAAAGCTTTTCCTCTAATATTAGGAATAAGGCAAGGATGCCTACTTCTGTCCCTAATATTCAACATAGTACTGGAAGTTTTAGCCAGAGAAATGGGCGAGAAATAAAAGGCATCCAAATTGGAAAGCAAGAAGTAAAACTGTTCACAGATGGTATGATCTTCTATGTGGAAAATGCTTAAGATTCCATATAAAAACTGTTTAATAAATGAATTCAGCAAAGTAGCAAGGTATAAAGTCATGCACAAAATCAGTTGCATTTCTATATATAAACAATGAACAATCTAAAAGGATATTAAGAAAACAATTCCATATACAATAGTATCATAAAGAATAAAATGCTTGAGAATTAACCACAGAGGTGAAAGACATGTACACTGAAAACTACAGAACACTGATAAATTAAAAATAAAAAAATTGAATGACAGACCATGTTCATGGATTGGAAGGTTTAATGTTGTTAAGATATCAATGCTACCCAAAAGGATCTACAGATTCAGTGCAATCTCTATCAAAATCCCAACAATACAGAAACAGAAAAACCCATCCTAAGATTCACATGGAATCTCAAGGGATCCTGAGTAGCCAAAACAACCTTTAAAAAAAGAAAAAAGTTGGAGGTAATCACTTCCTAGGTTCAAAACTCACTATAAAGCTGCAATAGTCAAAACAGTGGGGTACTGGCATAAAGACATACAGACCAAGGGAATAGTCTAGAGAGCTCAGAACTAAACCATCACATACAAAGTCAAATGGTTTTTTTTGTTTTGTTTTGTTTTTTTAAAGATTTTATTTATTTATTTGAAAGAGACACAGCGAGAGAGGGAACATAAGCAGGGGGAGTGGGAGAGGGAGAAGCAGACCCCCCGCAGAGCAGGGAGCCCGACGTGGGACTCGATCCCAGGACCCTGGGACCATGACCTGAGCCGAAGGCAGACGCTTAACGACTGAGCCACCCAGGCGCCCCAGTCAAATGGTTTTTGACAAGGGTGCCAAGACCATTCAATGGGAAAAGGGCAGTCTTTTCAATAAATGGTGCTAGAGAAATTGGATATCCACATACAAAAGAATGAAGTCAGACGCTTCCTTATTCTATATTCAAAAATTACTTCAAAATGCATCAAAGACTAAACACAGGAGCTAAAACTATAAATCTACTAGGAGAAAACATAGAAAGCTTCACGATATTGGACTTGACAATGATTTCTTGGATAATTCCCTACAGGCACAGGGAATAAAAGAAACATTTGAAAATTTCATGAAAATTAAAAATTCTTATGCATCAAAGGACACTATCAGTAGAGTAAAAAGGCCACACACAGAATGAGAAAATACTTGCAAATCACATATCCAGTAAGGGATTAATATTCAGAATACAGAGAACTCCTAAAACTCAACAGAAAACAACCAACCTGACTCAAAAATGGACAAGAGACTTGCCCAGACATTTCTCCAAAGAAGATACCCGAATGGCTAATAAGCATATGAAAAGATGCTCAGTATCACTAATTATTGGAGAAATGCACATCAAAACAAGATACCACTTCATACCCATCAAGGTGGTTATTATTAAGGAAAACCCCCCACAGGACAGGAAACAACAAATGTCGGTGAGGATGAGAAGAACTGGAACCCTGTGTATCACTGATGGGAACATAAAATAGTGTGGCTATTGTGAAAAACAGTATGGCAGTTCCTCAAAAATTAAAAATAGAATTACCATACGAGGCACGCCTGGGTGGCTGTCGGTTAAGCATCTGCCTTTGGTAGACTTCCGCTCAAGGGGAGTCTGCTTCTCTCTCTCCCTCTGCCCCTCCCGCCCCCTTGCCCCCCTCCCCACCCCGTGCATGTGTGCGCTCTCTCTCTCAAATAAATAAAATTTTTATTATTTATTTATTTATTTATTTTAAAGATTTTATTTATTGACAGAGAGACACAGCCAGAGAGGGAACACAAGCAGGGGGAGTGGGAGAGGGAGAAGCAGGCTTCCCGCCGAGCAGGGAGCCCGATGTGGGGCTCGATCCCAGGACCCTGGGATCATGACCTGAGCCGAAGGCAGACGCTTAATGACTGAGCCACCCAGTCGCCCTCAAATAAATAAAATTTAAAAAAAATTACCATACAGGGCGCCTGGGTGTCTCAGTCGTTAAGGTCTGCCTTCGGCTCAGGTCATGATCCCAGGGTCCTGGGATCGAGCCCCACATCGGGCTCCCTGCTCGGCGGGAAGCCTGCTTCTCCCTCTCCTACTCCCCCTGCTTGTGTTCCTGCTCTCACTATCTCTCTCTGTCAAATAAATAAATAAAAATATTAAAAAAAAAAAATTACCATACAATCCAGCATCTCTATTCTGGATATGTACACAAAAATTGGAAAGCAGGGACTTGAACAGATATTTGTACACCCATGTTCACAGCAGCATTATTCACAATAACCAAATGGTACAAACAACCCAAATGTCCATCAACAGATGAAGAAAATGTGGTATGTACATACAGTGAAGTATTATTCAGTCATAAAAAAAAGGAAATTCTGACATACAACACGATCACCCTCGAAGACATTATGCTAAGAGAAATAAACCAGACACCAATGGCAAATACTGCATGATTCCACTTATGTGAGGTACTTGAAAGAGTCAAATCCATAGACACGGAAAGGAGAACCGTGGCTACTAGGAACCGGGGTAAGGGAAGAACAGGGAGTCATTGTTTGATGTGTAGAGTTCAGTCTGGGATGATGGAAACATTCTGGAGATGGACAGTGTTGACAGTTGCACAACAACGTGAATGTACTTAATGCCGCTGGGCTGTACATTTAGAGATGGTTAAAATAAATTTTATGTTATGTATATTTTACCACAATTTAAAAATCATATATGTTAGTAAGCCTGGTGGTATAGCGCTTACACACAATTAAGGCAAGTCAAGGATATGGAGAGTGATGGGACATGGCATTTTAAGCGGTGGTCAGAGAAGGCCTTGGAAGAAAGGCCTTCGACATGAGTAAGAAAGCCAGAGCGACTGGATGTGTACGGGCTGGCAGAATTCCAGCCAGAGAAGAGAATGGAAAAGGTCCTGATGTAGAGCATATTTGTGCTGTCTGAGGCAAAAGTGAGGCCGGCAGACAAAGCAGTGGGGTGGGGGGAGATGACTGGAGAAAAATGTAGAATGAATGTTTAAGCTGGGGGAATGAGCACATACCATAGGGCCTTCCAGGCTGCTTGAACACTTTGGTTTTTCTTTTTGTTTTTTTAAAGATTTTATTTATTTATTTGAGAGAGAGAGAACATGAGTAGGGTGAGGGGCAGAGGAAGAGGCAGACTCCCCACTGAGCAGGGAGCCTGATGCAGGGCTTGATCCTGAGACTCTGGGATCATGACCTTAGCTGAAAGCACTTAACCAACTGAGCCTCCCAGGCACCCATTTTTTGGTTTTTGTTTGTTTTGTTTTGAGACAGACAGCACACGCAGGGGCAGAGGGAGAGAGAGAATCTCAAGCAGACTCTGAACTGAGCATGGAGCCCAATGCAGGGCTCGATCTCACAACCCTGAGATTATGACCTGAGCCCAAACTGAGTTGGATGCTTAAATGACTGAGCCACCCTGGGGCCACAAACACTTTCAGTTTTATTCTGAGTGAAGGGAGAAGGCTGTGGAGGGTTTGAAACAGATGAGTGACATGATATGATTAATGTTTTCAAAGGGTCTCTCTGGCTGCTGCATGAAGATTATCCAGAACAGAGGCAGAACAATGGGACCGTCACCTACAAAAGACCCCGGTTGCACAGTTTTTACCTGAGTGCCTACCTCTTTCAGTGTGGATCTCCTTCATGCAAAGCTTTTCCTCTCTCTCCAACTGGGATATCATATCTGGTTTGGAGGATGAATGCCCTATGAAAAGATAAGATAAAAGTGAAAACCATTAAGGGCGAAAGTACTGAAAAATTTTGGTTCTCATCCCATAATACAATAAGGCTCTGCCCCTCCCCAAAGCAGTGTTTGTCAAACACTTTTCCTATCACCACCCATAGTAAGAAATACACTTGGTATCATTAGAGATATATCACTACCACACAAAGTCTAGAAATAAATGATCAAATGAACTGTTTCTTATTTTTTTTTAAGAGGGGGTGGAGGGAGGTATAGAGGGAGAGAATCTCAAGCAGACTCCATGCCAAGTTCAGAGCCCCACTCAGGGCTCCATCTCACAACCTTGAGATCGTAAGCTGAGCCAAAGTCAAGAGTCAGATGCTTACCCAACTGAGCCCCCCAGGCACCCCTCAAATGAACGGTTTCTAACCAATGTCTGTTTTTGTCACATTCTTCCCAGTCTGACACCCCTCACTAGAAACAGCTTGCTGTTACTGCTACCATGTGCACCAACGTGCACCATTCTAAGGAGCTCTGATACTATTACTCGGTTCTGTAAGTGTTCTGTAAGACTGCTGATGCAATTTACTAAATCAGTTTCCTGACCCACCAATAGATCATGATCTACATGTTTAAAAAATATCTATGAAATATGGAGCCAGGTGAAGACAAGCTTAACTGTTCATTTATAGTTCATCTACATGCGACAACGTCTGCCTTGAAACAAAGACTAGAAACGTCTTGTCTCCGTGCTCCAAAGGGACTGGAAAACTCTGGCCTCTGAGGAGTCCTGAAGCCATGAACTAGTGGGCAGAGGCCAGGGATGCCACTAAACACCCTAATATCCACAGGACAGTCCTCAAAACAAAGAATCATCTGCCCCCAAATGTCAATAGTGCCTAGGTTAAGAAACCCTGCTTGAGGGGATGAGTTACAGAAAGATCCTGTGCTCACCCACAGAGACGAGGTTCCTGAAGTTTTCCAGCATCACGTCTCGGTACAGCTTCCTCTGGGTGGAATCCAGCAGCCCCAGCTCCTCCTCACTGAAGACCACGGCCACGTCCTTGAACGTCACCGTCTCCTACAACACCGAGCACACGCAACCTCAATCTCGCACCCGGTGGCCACGGGGAGCAGGGCAACGCTGAGGGGGTGGAGGAGCTATGTGGGAAGTGGTTCCAGATTCTGAGGGATCTGAGCAACTCTTCTTAATAGTTTCTCCTCCTCCCCTTCCACAATCATACCAAAAATGCGAGGGTCACGGGGCGAGGAGAAGGAAAGAGAAGAAAAAGAAAAATACCTGTGTACATGTGACGTGGTGCCCTTTATATAGTTAAGTCTCTGGAACTGCCATGGTCAAATCATGGCATATACACGTTTTAGAACTTGACTGATAGTGACAAATTTTACAAGAAATGTTTCAGGAATTCATCCCAACAGTATTTAATAGTGCCCGTCTCCTCCTCTCACTGGGCAGTACCACGATTTCGTCCACGTGTGCGCACCTAACAGGCCTTCAGCACCCCTCCCAGGCAGGCGCGCAGTTCATTCTCTATGATCTCAGGAGCATGACCTATCTGTCAACCGCAGCAGCATTCAGTGTTGAGGGTTCAGAGCATATGTTCTGGAGACTACATGCCTCTAAGGCTCTGTCCATTACTGGCTTTGGGACCCTGGTCAAGTCACCTAACTTCTCAATACTTCAATGTCCTTATCTGTGTAATAGTACCACATCATAAGGTACTTGAAAGGACCAAACAGAATACATAAAGGACTTAGGACAGCATCTGACACACACTAAGTACTCAACAAACGTCAGCCATCGTGATTACGGCTACCATCCTTGTTCCTGGTTGCACAGTATTCCACAAAAGTGGTGATCTAGAACATATTTAATGATTCCAAGTAATTAAACAGTATTTTTTTTAATTATTAATGCTGCAGAAAACATTTTTATACAGATCTCAGCCAACTGTCTTATTTCCCTAAGATAAGTTCCAAGAAGTGGCAATTGCACTGTTGAAAAATATGCACCTTTATTTTGCTAATATAATGACAATTTTCCCAATTAACTCTTCCTGTAAGAGATTAGAAGTATCCCTGATTCTCTATCTTCTGGCCAAAATTGGACAATATTTTTAAAATCTTGGGTAATTTGGTAAGTGATAAACTTTTTAAAAATTTTCCACTAACAATTTTAATTTTTTAAAAAGATTTTATTTATTTTAGAGAGTGTGTGTATGCGAGCAGGGGGAGGGGCAGAGGGAGAGGGAAAGAATCTCAAGCCAACTCTGTGCTGAGTGTGGAGCCTGACTCAGGGCTTGATCTCATGACCCTGAGATCATGACCTGAGCTGAAACAAAGAGTCAGACACTCAACCAACTGAGCCACCCAGGTGCCCTCCACTTATTTAAAAAGATGGTCTTTACTATACTCAAATAATAAAAAATCTTTTGATTTTTTAAAAATATATTACCTGTTCATTTCCTTTGTTTATAATCCTACTGGAATATCTTATATATCAGTAAATTTCCTACTGAGAATATTAAGCCTTTTTCCTAGTATGTATAAATTCCCACCTTCACCCCACCCCCGGCTCCTGTTTCCTATATGTCTCACAACCTTTTGTATGGCAATAAAAATTATCTCAACTCTAGCTAGAGTTCTGAGCATCTATATATTAAACAACTAGTTGATACATCTGACAAAGGAAAGAAAGCCACTAAGAAAAGGAATTAGCTGAGGACGATATTACTTTTGGAGGCCTCCGCCTACCAGACATGCACACATGCAGGCTGCCTCAGGTCCCCGAATAGAAGTCTCTTTTCTTCTGGGTCTTTCCATTTACTGTGATTAAACACCTGAACCTCCCTGCTTAGACAACAGGAACTTTAGTGTCACTGGGCACCGAGTGGATGTCAGTAGGTATCTGAAGGTTCACAAATCTGTTTCTTCATGTTAAAATGCAGGTAAGACCATCTATATCCTCACACACACTCTGTTCCACAGAGTAAATGCCTGGCAAATCCCTAGTACTAAGGATTTTTAAAACTAAGTATGTACTTCTTTAAAACATATTAACATCTCAATGAATAAAATAAACATCTAACTATAACACACACAGTTTAACTTAAAATAAAAAAGGGAATCTAGCTTTTTTTTATTATTTAAAATTATTTATTTTTTAAGTGAGCTCTACGACCAACGTGGGGCTTGAACTCAAGATCCCGAGATCAGGAGTCGCACGCTCTATGGACTGAGCCAGCCAGGCACACTCCAAATCTAACTCTTCTTGTTTGAAAACAACTAAAATTATTTTCTCTGAGTTCAGTCTGAGGTGGACTCTGCTGCACCAAGCCGTACTTTAGACATTCTTATCACAAAATGGGAGGCACCACATGTGAGAAAACCATGGAGTCCCTGGAACTTTAAAGAGGGAAAAAAAAAAAAGGCTGAAATCTCAGAGTTTCTGTACAGGAAGAAAGGTTATATGTTAGCAAACTGTTGTTGTAAACATCTTTAAAATAGTAAAATCCGCATATAAATGGAGAATGGGGTAAAGCAATAGGTAAATTATGGGAAATGATGTGACCATTTAAATTGTAGGTAATATAAAATTACATTTGAAAAACCCAAAATGGTACTTAAACTAGGATTATAAATCTAGACATGTCAACACAAATGAGAAAGAATGCGGGACAATTAAAACTGCTGATTTATAAACACGTTTGTAATGTGGGAGTTATTTTTTTTTTTTAAATATCTATTACTTTTCACACTATTATTTGGAAATAAACAAAAAGAGCCTGGTATACAACAATTAGGTGCCTTGGGTTCCTTTTTACCCTTCCCAGGCAAGGGAAAAATGCATCCAATCTTTATGAAATGAGATGTCATTTTAAGTAACAGAAAGGCAAACCCAACTTACCTGGAACTTGGTCATTTTTCTTCTTTTCCTTCTGGGGAGAGGCAGAGCTCTGGAAAGGCAAAACTGTGGAAGGGAAAGTCCTCATGAGAGAGCTGGTAGTCGGTGCAGCGCTTTGTGCCAACAGGAAGCTGCTTTCTCCAGGCAAAATTTAGAACAGGGGCTGGATTCCAGCATCCCCTAGGCCCCCTCAGTCAGCTGCCTTTGTTCATGAACAGTCCCTAACCTAAGTGCTTCTGGTAGCTTCCAGAGCATTCCTGAGCCTGGGTAGGAGAGGTAATGAGAGACATCCAGGCAATATAATTTAACTTAATGGGGCCAAAGTGCCTGGGTTCAAATTTTGCATTTCTACTTATTGTTTTCTACTTCCCAGCAGTGCAAACCCTGAGCGAGGTATTAATCTTCCTGTGCCTCAATCCAGTCACCTGTAAATGGGGATCATAATAATGCCGGTATTCCCTATTTCCTCCAGTATCAGACAAGCAGATGCTATTGTGCTTCATAAAACCTCCCTTGCAGATGTGCTGTTCAGAAAAGGACTGTTTTAAGAAACCTAGAATTCAGAGCCATGAGTTACCGTTACCCTAGGAAAGTCTAATTCTGACTGGTTGTCCCACAGGTAATTTGTTCTGCGGCTAATGATAAGCTGCCATGATTTTCCCCCCAATTACACCATTTTAACAGGTGTAATTACTTGAGCATGTTATTAAGCTGGAAGGGCCTCAACAAAGTTTCTTCTCCCGTGTGCACGGAGGCAAATGATGACTAATAAAAACCGCAGACTAAGAAATCCTGTTGCATTTAAATTAACGACACGCAGCTGTTACACGTTGTGAACAGTTAAGGACTCGCTACGCCGCAGGCACTCTGCGAAGCCGTGATCACGATTGTTTCTCTGCGATAAACCACAGAGAACTTTCCTCAGGGTCCGGCTGAAGATAACTCTGCTTCCTAAACAAGTGTCTCGGAAGAGTCCAGGAATCCAGGACCGGCCCCGCAGCAGAGATCAGTGAAGGGCCAGCGGAGCTGCAACCGGGGCTCCGAGCCCACGCCGGGCTCCCAGGATCTTCCCAACAACAGGGGGCCCGAGGATGATGACAGAAGTCACGGTCCCATCCAATGCTGCACTAGGCACTGATTTTTAGCTTTCATATCTAATCTCATTTCATTCTCAGACCACCACTGGGAAGACACTAACGCTCTTTAGCCGAGAGGCAACCGACGCAAGGAGATGCTATGTCACTCGCCCAGGGTGTCACCGCGAGGCGCACGCAGAGCCAGCTGGCAGGTCCGGGACCCAGGCTGCGGGCGCGGAGAGCGCGGGAGACCTTCAAACTCCGCTCGCCACGCGCGCCCGCCCCGACGCGGAGGCTCCGCCGGGCAGCGGCACTCTGCCGCCGCTGCCTCTGTCCCCGCCCTCAGCCGCCGGCCGCGGCTCCCCTTCGCCAGCAGCGAGGGCCGGCTGGCTGCTGGCCCCACGCCGAGGCCGAGAAGCCTCGGAGGGACGGCAGGGACGCGGGTTAACTCACCTCACGGCCAGCAGTCTCGGCCCCGACCTCGCCTTCCCCGAGCGGAAGTGCCGCCGACCCTCCGACTGTACCCAGCTCCTGGACTACACTTCCCAGAATGCCCAAGGGGAAGCGCCTCGGGTTTCGCGCACCTGCTGGACTACATTTCCCAGAATGCAGCTCGCGGGACCGCAATGTCCACCAGCTGGCCCTCGTTTCGGACCGAGAGGGGGTTTCGGTTTGAGTCATTCCTCTGGCGCTGTAACTGTCAGATTTCTTTTTGTTTTATACGTTTCTTACAGCTCACGAGAAAGTAATTGCGAATTGAAAAAATTCGGTCGTGGGCGCCTGGGTGGCTCAGTCGGTTAAGCGACTGCCTTCGGCTCGGGTCATGATCCTGGAGTCCCGGGATCGAGTCCCGCATCGGGCTCCCTGCTCGGCAGGGAGTCTGCTTCTCCCTCTGACCCTCCCCCCTCTCATGTGCTCTCTCTCTCTCTCAAATAAATAAAATCTTAAAAAAAAAAAAGAAAAGAAAAAATTCGGTCGTATAAAAGAGAAAAACAAAGCTTGCACTGTGAAGTTAACAAAATCTTTAGCGGGAGTAAGGGGTAGGCTAAAAATGGAAAACGTAGTGACTCAAGCTGAACCGCTGAACGCCGAACTTAAGATCTCAAACCTGCATCAAATGTCAGCTCCTCCGATATCACCAATACAACCGTCGATAATAAACGGAGTTTACAGACAGCCCCTTAACGGGGCCACGAAGTCAAGGTTGGAATTCACTGGGAATTGCAAGCTTGGTTTCAATGCGACGGACTTGATTAGGTTTGCGCAAGGATCATGGTACTACAGTCCAGGATTGGGGGGAACAGCAAGGGTTTTTAGGTGCCAGCCGTTGCTTTCTTTCGAAGAGATTGAAGAGCTGATAGAGGATTTAAGAGTTGATGTAACCTGTGATGAACAATCAAGCAATTTGCTTGGACAGCAATCTCCTGGAATAGTAAAGGCGTGCTAATGACAACTGAACAGTTATGTTAACATAGACGGTAAATTGTGGGAAGGGAGGGAGGTAGATAGGAAGTTTCATTCTTCTGTGTCCAAGCTGTCCACGCAGTGTGTCTTGTGCGGAGGGGAGGGAACAGAGGTTAAGGGGAATCTGTTTGACTCCTCTGCCTCCTTTATTCCACAAGGCACCTAAGGGCACTTGACGCTGTTTTGTGGCATGAGCTACTCATTCCAATAAGCTGGGAATTTAGAAAAAGTTGATACAAACATTGATTATGCTCCAAAGAGAAGTATCTTGAATTTCATTTACAAAAATGAGTTGTGTTAAAAAAAAAAAAAAGTAAATTTAAAGATCTAATTGGCTTTATTTAACGATTCATGAATTGAGCAGCATTCCCTTCTAGTAAACGGAAGGGAGCTCCCATATAAGGAGGTTATTAGCAAAAAAAAAAAAAAAGAAAGAAAAGAAAGAAAGGAAAGAAAGAAAAGAAAGAAAGAAAAGAAAGAAAGAAAGAAAGAAAGGAAAGAAAGAAAAGAAAGAAAGAAAGAAAGAAAGAAAGAAAGAAGGAAAGGATTATTTCAGGCCAGCTTACCTTGTCTTAGGGGAAGGCAGGGAGTCTTATCAGGCAAATTACCTCACTAATGCTGACCAGGGAATTCCAGGCTGATGGGTTTAAAATTCCGTTCCTGGGAAATAAGTCTTAGTTTGCTGTCCTGGGGGCAAGTGACACCTTAGTCCTGTTCGTTCGTTTTGTTTTTCTTTCTTTCTTTTCTTTCTTTCTTTCTTTTCTTTCTTTCCTTTCTTCCTTTCTTTCCTTTCTTTTCTTTTTTCTTTCCTTTCTTTCTTTTTTCTTTCTTTTTCTTCCTTCCTTCCTTTCTCTTTCTTTTTCTCTCTCTCTCTTCCTCTTTCTCTCTCTCTCTATAGTTGTGGCAGATGAAAATAGCTCTATTGCAGGGAATTTCAGAAAATACAGTGATGTGTGTCTATATAAAATTTAAATTGTTTTGTAATTCCCGCTCAGCTTCAGATTATTTCATTACATACTTTCACTGTTTGCTCCAGACATAAATATTTTGTGATTGAATAACCCAAGTGAAACCAAGAAGCCACGATTTTTCTCCTCAGCCAGAAATGCATCTGTAGCTTTTTATTATGTAAGTTTTCAAGCATATACAAAAACAGAGAATAGTGAAATGTACCCCATATACTCATATCCCAAATTTAAGTCAATAACTGTTTTAACCATCTAATTCATCTGTCATTTTTAAATTTTACGGAATTTTCAAACAAATCCCTGGCGTCATTTTTTTAAAAAAGATTTTATTTATTTATTAGAGAGAGAGAGAGAGAAAGCACAAGCAGGGGGAGCAGCAGGCAGAGGGAGAAGCAGGTTCCCCGCTGAGCAAGAAGCCCAATGCAGGACTCTATCCCAGGACCCTGGGATCATGACCTGAGCGGAAGGCAGATGCTTAACCGACTGAGCCACCCAGGCAAACCCCTGGCATCATGTTTTTAACCCCTAAATACTTTGCTAAATATTTGCTTAAAATATTTTATTTCAAACCCACAATATCATTATCACACTCAATAAATAATTACCAATAAATCCTTCATATCTCCTAATACCTGTAGAACTGTAAGCAGAAAGAGTTAGGGTTCTCCAGCAAAAGAAAGGAGAGAGACATGGCTTTCAGAGCAGAAGTTACTTTAGACCCCCAGCTATTTTCCGTTATCCATGCCCTCCTGGTTCTACTTGCCTTAGCACACCTTTTGGGAACTTCCTAGGAGGTGTCAAAATCACAAAGAAATGCAAAAACCTCAGTAGTTGTGGATTTTAAGGGAACAAAGGAAATGCAAAAACTGTCTCTAGCAGCCCAGGATATGGCCTAGCCACATCAGAGATAATAAATCAAATAAATAAATAAATTCAAAAGTAAGCAAGACCCTGCGTTCCTTACCCAAGACAATGTGACCAAGACCTCATTCACTTTATACTGGGTCTCAGAGCAGGCCCATAGCCCCTTACCCTTGCCCGACAGTTACCTCTGCTTCATTATACTACTAAAGTCTTCACCCTAGGAGGACCGCAAGATTCATTTCCATAATACAGAATGCCTGTATAGGCATGTTTTCTAAATAGTATGCACAACCTTATGTCCACCTTTGCATACAATGACAACGCTCCCTTTGCTGAATATTCATTCTAACCCCTAAAAAGAAACATCACATCCCTGCTAGGGGAGTCACAGCTTCGGAAGTTATTTCCTGTGATCGCCTTATTTGCTGCAAATAAAATTTCCTTTGTGTGACAACTCCACCTGGTACAGTCTCTATCTGTAACTCCCCAAGGAGCAAGCTCACATTAGTTTGGTTACAGAAACAAACTAAAATGGAGTCTCTTTATATCAGGGACAAAATGGAGATGGTTAATGCAAGTGCAAAAAAGGAAACTTATAACCCAACCTTCAAGGAATTTACATCTCTTCTCAGAAATCAGCAGAAGACACCAGCCAATTCCCAAATGCCAAGTCTGTTCCTGGCCATCTCTGGACTTCCTTTCCTTGACTCAGCTACCCTGATCCAAATAAGAAAGAAGATGACTAGGCAACCAATCAACTAAAAAAAGCCAAATGAGGGGCGCCTGGGTGGCTCAGATGGTTAAGCGTCTGCCTTCGGCTCAGGTCATGATCCCAGGGTCCTGGGATCGAGCCCCGCATCGGGCTCCCTGCTCCTTGGGAGCCTGCTTCTCCCTCTGCCTCTCTCTCTCTGTCTCTGTCTCTCATGAATAAATAAATAAAATCTTAAAAAAAAAAATTACTTTCAATTATAAAAAAAAAAAAGCCAAATGACTTTTATATTTATCCCATAAGTATCCCTTAGCCTGTGAACAACTCAGAACTCATTGTTTCTGTAGCCTTGAGTTTCCTGGTTTGCAGGTCAAAAGCCTTGCAGTAAACACATCCTTCTGCTTTGTTTTATTCAGTAAGCAGAAATGGCTTTTTGACATACCCAATCCCTATTCAAATTTGTCAATTACCTCCAAAATCTCATAACTGCTTTGTTCAAGTCAATGTCCAAACAGAGTCCATTCATTCTATTTATCTGCTCAGGCACATTTATTCTTGAATACTATCCTTCTGTTCCTTTTTTCAAACCTTTGACCTGTTGAGGAATTGAGTCAGTTGTCATGATGTCCCACATCCTGGATCTCACCAATTATGTTTTGTGTCATTAAATAATTTGTTCCTCTATCCTATGTGTTTCCTGTAAAGTTTATTATTTTAAGTTGTTTATTATTATTATTATTAGTAGTAGTAGTAGTAGTAATCTCTACACCCAACTTGGGGCTCAAATTCATGACCCTGAGATCAAGAGTTGCATGCTTTTCTGACTGAACAAGCCAGGCACCCCTATTTTGTAAAGTTTTTATTTTGTTTTAAAAGATGTTATTTATTCAAGAGACAGAGAGAGAGCAAGAGCAGGGGGAGTAGCAGAGGGAGAAGCAAGACTCCCCGCTGAGCAAGAAGCCCGATGCAAGGCTCAATCCCAGGACCCCAAAATCACGACCTGAGCTGAAGGCAGACGTTTAACCGACTGAACCACCCAGGCACCTCTTCAAGTTTTTAATTCCATTAGTTAACATACAGTATTATATTAGTTTCAGGTGTACAATATAGTGATTCAATTCCTGTCAAGTTTAAATCTAAAGTCCTGATTAGATTTGGGTTCATCTCTTTTGACAAAAAAGCCATGGATGATACTGGAAATATCTGAACAAGACCAACTGAAGCCAATTCAAATCCTGGGCAGTGTTCCTCTGAGTAGGAAAATAAGTAACAGTAAGTATGTGAAAAATAATGGGTTTTTTTGTTTTGTTTTGTTTAAATTTTATTTTATTATGTTAATCACCATACATCATTAGTTTTTGATGTAGTGTTCCATGATTCATTGTTTGCGTATAACACCCAGTGCTCCATTCAATACGTGCCCTCTTTAATACCCATCACCAGGATAACCCATCCTCCCACCCCCCTCCCCTCTAGAACCCTCAGTTTGTTTCTCAGAGTCTGGATCTGAAAGGGTACGTGCACCCCGATGTTTATAGCAGCAATGTCCACAATAGAAAAATAATGGTTTTAAAGAAAAGAACCATTTTAAGGATTAACCATTTTAAGATCAAAGGATTCCTCTCAAAAGTAAAAATGTTTGGTAATATTTGTTTTGCAGTTTCTTATATTAAACAGGATCAATCTGATAA